TGAGCGAGAAAGAGAGAGAGACAAAGTATAAAGGTTAGTGCCAGAGCCGTTTGAGTTCAGCTCTTAGACCAGACCACCAGCTCACATGGGTTTATTTGGATGTCATCTTTGAACAAAGAATAAACCCACTTCCATTGGACTTCTGATCAGCCTCCTGGTTTTTCTTCAGAGTGCTCTGAACTTTCTATGATTTCATTGGAAGCAAGTTTTACTGAGTTTTGACCAACACCACAGACTCTTTTTTGGTTCAAGGGCAACAAATTATCCACAACAATGGAATAAGTTGTTTGAGTGCGGACAATACAAAAGCAGTGAGGAAGCAAAGAACGCATGCACTAGATGTGTTCACAACAACAAAACATTATTTGCACGGACGGTTTTACTCTTGAAATACAAATAGGTACGACATAGAAGAGAGAAACTGATCCTTTTTTGGTATCAATCCTATTGATGATAGGATTGATGTTCAAAATGATAATCTGGTATCTATAGTATTGATATTTAGGTATTGATCTGCCCACTCCTACTGGTTGCCTGTCAGCTGTAGGCTTTGCGGTGTGTTCAAGTGTAACTTTTTGATTGAGAAATATGCAACGTGAGATTATGAAACAGCCTTCCTCACTGTTAGTTGTTTGACATCGATTTGGTATGTCTGGGCCTTTAAACTACAGACTCTTTATATTTTTGCTGAGCACGTTTGAATGCATCCTTCATAGCTTCGGATATTTGAATGTATTTTCCCCACTATTCTCGGCATTTCCATTCCATTTCCATCTTCCATTTGCTTCTACTCCGTCCTGTTTGGTATAAAATTCAATTTGCAACTCTTGAAACCTGCATAATCCATGACAGTATTCTTCGGGGCTGTAGCAATATTTGTAGTGTACATGTTACATTATTATTGTGTGATTATGAAGCTCAATATATGTTCAATCAGGAAGACTTTCTTTGTGCTCATCCATTCACAACTCTCTCCATCCCATTCCCACTGCTTCCTTTAATCAGCTGACTATGGGTGTTCACTCGTCTAGTTATCCAATCAAACTTTACCACTATCTCTATCAGGATGCCACTGCAAAATTTTAAATCTGCTCTCTCTTCTGCTGCTGTCAGCCATCATTTTAGGCAGAATCTTCGCACCCTCCTCCGCCCCGTTCACACCCAGCCAGCATATCCAGAGTCCAGGACAAGCTCAACAAAGGCTCATTCCTCTACTCATCCAGATCATCAGCACTTCTTGCATCTTCCTCGCATCTCATGAAGGGGGTGTCCCTATTCGACTTTGGATACATCACCCTCCTTAAATCATACCATCTCTACGGGGTCTAGTCGCCAAAGACTTTCAACATTTTCATTCTTATGTGCACATGTTAATAAATATTCTTTTACTATAAAAACAAGTCTCTCCTGATTGAAATGCAGTTTAAGTGCAGCTTCAATAACATTCATTACCTTAAAGGTCTAGTGTGCAAGATTTAGTAGCATCCTGTGGTGGCAGATTGCAAAATTTCTTCCGTGTGCCAAGCGTGTAGAACAATGGCAGCCAATGGAAAAACATGAATAGCCCTATCTAAAGCCAGCGTTTGGTTTTTCCATTCTGGGTTACCGTAGAAACAAGCAAGGTGGACTCCATGAAAGAGGACCCACTCTGTATGTAGATATAAACGGCTCATTCTAAAGGCCAGACACATGAAACTGACTACAAAGAACTAGCATCAACAAGAGCTGATTGTGCATTACCTCACGTCGCCTGTGTTTCAGCCAAAAAAGTTGAACATGAGCACACCACAAGTACTACAGATGATGGCCAACCACCACGTATGTTAGCACATTAACAACACAATCTAATATTGAAAGAACAGAGCACATTTACTGTGCACGGGTGAACGATTATTTCATTTACCAATGGGCTCCACTGGCACTGACTTAACGTGCTGAATTGGCCCAAAAAAAAAAAGAAAAAAGAAAAAAAGCCAACGGCTGAGGAGGGGCAACAGCGCGTGACACACCGTGCCAACAGATGCTCACCGATGGCCCAACATTAACCGACAGCTTTGTGTGTCAGGCCTTTAAGCAGACATGGGGGAAAGTCACACATGTGCAAGTCACAAGCAAGTCTCAAGTCTTTACCTTCAAGTCTCAAGCAAGTCCCAAGTTAGTTGTGGTGAGAATCAAGCAAGTCAAGTCAAGTCCCTGCTATAAGTCAATCAAGTCAAGTCGAGTCTTTGCTCAGGTCAAGCAAGTCACAAGTCAAGTCATATGTCACATATGGCAAACATCTCCTCACAATCTGCTAGCTACATGTCCTCTGAATATGCTGTGAAAAAGTCCGGTCTCTGTAGGCAGTCCAGGCTCCGCAAATGGCAACAAAAACATTTGGGTCCAGGCTGCATCAACCAGCCAGCACGAGACCATTGAAGGCAAGCACACACACATGAACACGGTGCCCATGTCTCACAGTCTCGCGCAAGCGCGCACATGTGAACGCGATGCCCAGAGAGGCAGTTAGAGCTACAGGCTACAATGAGGCTAAAAACAGAGTTCAAACAGGGCTCTACGCTAACCTTTGATATAACTTAAAGTAGTCAGTGTGCAGCTTGTATAGTAGTATAGATTTACCTTCCTCTGAAAATCACTCAAAACACAGCCATCAACATCTAAACAGCTGGCAACATAAGTGAAACATGAATTCCAAGCAGAGCATGATTGCCCCTCTTCAGAAACTGAGCTACAAGTTTTCATTATCAAGTTTTCCAACATGATAATGACCCAAAACACACCTAGTAGATGACAACTGCCTTGCTGAGGAAGCTGAAGGTAAAGGTGATGGACCGGCCAAGTATGTATCCAGCCCTAAACTCACCTGTGCACCTGTGGGGCATCCTCAAGCTGAATTTGGGGTAGTGCAAGGTGTCTTCACATCCATCTGCTCCATGATGTCATGATGGAGGAGTGGGAGAGGATTTCTGAAGCAACCTGTGAGCTCTGGTGAATTCCATGCCCAAAAGGGTTAAGGCAGTGCTAGATAATAATGGTTGGCACACAAAATATTGACACTGTGGGGTGTACTCACTTATGTTGCCAGCTGTTTAGATGTTGATGGCTGTGTTTTGAGTAATTCTCAGAGGAAGGTAAATCTATACTACTATACAAGATGTACACTGACTACTTTAAGTTATATCAAAGTGTCATTTCTATAGTGTTGTCCCATGAAAAGATATAATGAAATATTTGCAAAAATGGGAGGGGTGTACTCACTTATGTGAGATACTGTAAGTTAAGAACAGTCCCTTCAGTGCGGTGAGGTTTGTTGACTGTTGCCTGCCACAAAGAGAGAAATGTGAACAGCTTGTTTCTCCTCTGACACGTCACATACCTGTGTGCCGCCACGGCTCAGCTGTTCAGGTACTTCTGGGCAGTCATGAAACCAATGAAGAGGAAATTATTGGACCTGGAGCCAGGCTTCTCGGTTGCCGATAAACTGTTATCTTGCGGTGGCCATAGTGCTCCGCCGTATTCCTGTCTGTGACACCCGTTCAAACCACAACCGGCAGGATTGGCCTTTCGTTTCTGCTGCTGGTTGAAATCTGTACTTGCACAGCGTGCTCCTGAATGATTTCTTTTGCTCGCACAAAATTTTTAGTCGCAAATGCGAGTAAAATGCTCGCACCGTAGAGCTCTGAATGAGGGTAAAAACAGAGTTCAAATGACTTTTTATGTCAGGGCTTCAGGACACTTGGATCACTACGGACAAGCAGTATGGAGATATTTTGTGGTTTCAATTATGTGTTTTTGGACGTTTGAATCTGGGGCGCCGTAAGCCTCCATTAGGAGGAGTTTTGTTGCTACCTCCTCTCCCCTTGGATCTCCGCAAGTGTTGTGAGGACTCTAAAACTTCACCTGATCTAGAGCTAGCTTTGTTGTGTTTGATAACATTGTTGAACGTAAACAGAAGTGACGCCCAACGGTACTTAGCGTGCATTTAATATTGAATTATAGCCAAGTCCTTTCGAGTCATCTGTCTCAGTCAAAGTCAAGTCTCAAGTCATGAATACAAAATCAAAGTCAAGTCTTTTATCAACGTTAGTCAAGCAAGTCTCAAGTCATCATTTTGTGACTCGAGTCTGACTCGAGTCAAGTCATGTGACTCTAGTCCCCCATCTCTGCCTTTAAGGTAACAAAAACACAATTCTTATTTTCAGGTAATTACCCTTAATCCTACACACTGGACCCTTTAAAGAGGAACTCTGGTATTTTTCAACATGGTCCCATTTAGTGTCTCGTGGGAACAACCATTTTGAAACTGGTTTGGTATGAGAGAGAACACTGCAGCCGGCAGAGGCGAAACAAGAGGCAGTGTCATCACTTGGGGCATTCATTAACAGTGCTTGTTTTTGCCGCAAACAGGCTCAGGTTGTTTTATAAGTGCTCTTATAATAACATTAAAAATCTCTTAGATAAGAGTAAGCTACACTTCCTGCACTTCAACACAACAAACTTTTACCAGCACTTTCTATCTCCAACTCTCATTTGGGTTTTCACCTTTTTTTTTCTGTGCAGCAGGTCAACTTGCATGAGATTTCAGAACGAGACTTCTTTTTTGCATGACTTGGACACAGAACAGAACAGAAAAAGCAAAAGGTAAAGAAAAACGTTTTGTTTTTCTGTAGGTTTCTTTCTTTCTGACACTTAGAGTAACAATCTGAGCCTGACAGTGGCAAAAACAAGCATTTTTAATGAATATAAATTAACAGTGCAAATATGCCCTGAGTGGTTACATCACAGTCTGTTTTGTGGCTGCCAAATGGTTTACTGCGGCTATGGAGGTTTTGGAGAGCAGGTTCAGTCATGACTGATCACAGAACAAAACAAAAACTGATTTCTATTCTCTATGCCACACCAGTGCAACAATATTAACATACAGCTTCTGTCTGGCCATTTCTGGATACAAGACAACATATTTTCTCATTCTGAAGCAAGGAACAGGAAGCATGGAAGCCTTTGAGCTACACGGTCTGAACTGATCAGATTTATTAACTGATATATAACTTTGTCTTTAACATTTTAAATAACAAAGGTTACAAAGGCAACAACAGGTAAGAGGAGTAAAAACACAACCATAATACCACACAGTAATATAATGATGAACATGCAAAATGATCCAATTAAAAGTTTGCAGACATCTTGGTGACGTCTTGTTTCAGGTCCATGACGTGCATCTCAATTCTCCTGTGCAGCTCATCCATTGAAGTTGACAGAGTGTCATACAGAGCCTGGACAGTGAAGTGGAACACGTTGGTCTCAAACCATGAATGAAACAATAAATACACTGGGAAAACATGTAGGAGAATGTTCGAACCTGAGCTTTCTCTGTCTCTTTGCTGCAGACGTCTCTCAGGCTCTGGATCTTAACCTTCAACTGCTGTGTCTCTCTAGAGATCTCCTGGATCTTTTCAGCCATCTCCTCACGCTTCTGATGGATTTGGTTACACTGCCTGGAGAACAGTTCAATGTTTGTTTTTAAACTCTCAGTTTACAGAGCAGGATTGTCACATTTTTTCTATTTATCACATTTATATCTATATATACTGTATGTTGTAGCATGAAATACCCCAGCACGTCTTGAACATGCTGCTCCTTCATCTCTCTCTGCTTCTGCCTGCGGATGTTCTGTTTAGACTCTTTGTCCAGCTTCATGGCCAGAGCTCGCTTCAACTGGCCTTCCTCAGTGCACAGGTTTTTCAGCTCCTTCTGCTTCTTCTCATACTGAGCCATGAGCTCCTGGTGCTACACACACACACACACACACAATGGAATCAAGAATTTCCACAGATTCCACCAGCAATCTTTCATCTGTTCACTGAAGCCCAAGTCTACACACAGTAAAACTCCCTAAACCTCAACTGACACAGTGTTGAGTCTACATACAAGTAGAATGTGGACTAATTTACTTGTGTTTGGTGAAGAGTTTTAAACATAATAAAAAAATTTAAAAAACAAACAAACAAACGAACAAAACAAAAAAACACACACACACAAAAATTCTTTCGCCCCTAAAATAAAACAAAACAAAAACACCAGCCCTGTTGTTTCCCAGAGGGCTGTACCACAAAGCCAGTTCGACAGAGCCAGGTGGTAATCAGCTGTCTGTTAACCCAGGCTTTCTGCTTCAGGCTCCATAAAATGAGCTGAACACTTCATTTGACTCTTAAAAATGACAGATAGTGTGCCACCTACTTCAGCCTTTGAAGAACATTTTTAAAAGTATGAGGAGACTGGAATTACCGCCCATGGTTGTATGCTTCCATGCACCAGTTTCTCTTATGCCAGGTTCACACAACACAACATTTTTGTCTGTTCCAACAGTCACTATGTCCGATTACACGATTGTGGACGATACGCTGGTCCACACCAATCATCCCCGGTCGTCTTTCAAGATATGTGTGATGTCATCGGGTTATTCTTGTCCTGTTTATATTATCATTACTATTATTTCAGTCACTGTGTCTGTTCATGTGCCAGCTGAAATGATGTTGTAGTAACATAAAAATTTCCACCAGATGGCAGGAGCTACATTTTAAGTACCGCATGTAAACATGCAAGTCATTGATTCCTCCACAACAAGTTCCTGCAAATGTTTCACGATAAAAGCCTTTTTAGAAAATTAAAGGATTCTCTCAACTGACGTTATAAGGGGCTTTTCATTTTAAACAGCTACAGGAAGTGTTGAGTTTGAAATGATGGCACGAAACATTGCCTTTATCAAGGCAAACAGGAGCAGATTAAAAGTAAAAATATAAAAATACTTAAGGAATAATAAATAACGGCCCGTTTATAATGTAGTCCGTTTCAAATGAAGTTGGTACGCCACTATTTTTTTTTTAATTTTATTACTTTATATCCTCCATTATGAAGAAACAATATTCTTTGCTAGCTTGATACTAATGGCAGTACTCAGTGGGTTGATTAAGTGCCTCAGCTGTTTCACCCCATCATTTTCCCCTTTTACTCTGTTGTGGTAACATCCCTAGAGGAAATATCAACAAAACTCAGGTGTTGTTCCCCTACAGTTGTCTATGGCAGCAGATCGCACTGTCTTTCAATTGGTCAAAGTGACGGCTGTGATGGGAGAAGTCGTAAACGACAAAAAGAAAATCAAACATGCTCAACTTTCTGTTGGAATGTTGTGAGGTGTCCCAGACGTGGCGTTGGTTGTTGTCTACTATGACACACTACAAGAGATGAGACGATGGATTATCATGTATAACACTCATTGTTGTTCACGATCCGAACCGACACCATACGACGCTGCGTTGGGCTGTGATCGGGCTGATATTGTGTAGTGTGTACCCAGCATTACTGTTTTCATCTACGCATATCTGTGACAACATGGATGCTCCACACACAAAGGGATTTTGATCAGTGCTTATTGTAAAATGGGTGTGGTTACAGAGCACTTATTCATACCTCCTCCTGTCGCTGATTGGTGTTGTTCATGCTGCTCTCCAGGTCCTGCAGCATGTTGTACATCTGCTGGATCTCAGCCTCAGTGTGGGTCATACTCTGCACCATGTTCTGCAGCTCCACCACTCGCTCATCTGCTTCTTCCTGAAATCAATCCCATCCAAAACTTATCATTCACGTGACTGACAAAAACGGTTGCATTTATCAGTCTATTTTCCAAAATGCCAGATTTCCTGTTTTCTTTTCTACTCACGATGGAGTTCTTTATGTTCTTGACGTTCTCCCTCATCCTCTCCATCTGACTCTTCAGCTCCTCTGGAGACTCCACAATCTGAGACTTGAGTTTTGCAATGTCTTCCTTCAGGTTGCTAACATCCACCTTAACCTGGGCCTGACACACACATCCAAACACAGGCCTTGACTCTTACTGTCTATCATTTTGACGTATCTTTCTGAGGTGGTTTGGGATGTCAGTCCGAAGTACCACATATTGTTCACAAAGACGTTTAAGGTTGGTATCAAATGTTAACACCACAGCCACGTACCAGTTTCTGAGTCTTCTCTGCAATTTTGGTTTTCCATTCTGCGATACTTTCATTTATGGCATTCTGAAAGGAGATTTGATTTCACTTGAGAGCACACATAACAACATGTTTTATCATTTGGACTGTGTTTTATCACCACTTACCACTTCCTGATATTCATGCATGGTGGTAGCGTGCAGCTCAGAAAGAGCAGCTGCCAGCTCATCGGCCTCAGCCTGCTGCTCTGGTGGTATGGTCCTGAACAAGGACAAACACAATGAAAAAAGTGTGCATGTGCAAATTTTGTCTTTTATGTGACCCGTGACCATGATAACAGAATTATTAATAAAATAATTACATAATGATCTTGACAAAACATTTTTTCAGATAATCATAACATAGATTATCATTCAGGACCATTAAATTGACTTTTTAATTGTCAATCAATTATTAATCTGTGCATTTAGTTAAGCACTTTATCTTTAGTCTTTAAAAAGTCAATTTAAGTTCCCCTGAACCAGGATGGTGTCTTCAAATGGGCTTCTTTTGCCAACTAACAGTCCAAATACCAGAAATATTACATTTAAAGAGATATAAAATTGCAAAACACCACAATAAAGAAGCCAGAAGCAGCAATACACTAAACAACATCAACAAAAATCACACATATCTAATCCAAGACTTACGTCAGCAGCTCGATCTTCTTCTCTGCCTCTATATTGCCTCTGGTGTAAGCCTGCAGCCTGTCCATGTCTGCCCTCTGACAACAGACAGTAACTGTTTCAATAACTGCAACTCCAAACGCACATGCACGCACGCACGCACACACACACACACACACAGAAACCAGGGTCATGGTTGCTACCTTGTCAGCAGTAATCAAGACACAAGGTGGGCATTATGTACATTAAAAGGTATACCAAGCAAAAGTTTCCTTAAAAGCTACGTACTAGGGAAGTAACGATTACCGATATTACGGTAAATTTCGGTTAATTTTTACACGGTAAGAATTACCGTTTATGTTTTAATTAATTGCATTATCGCGGTGGATTATCAGGATATGTAATAACAGCCTCATTCAAGTCTCGCGACGCAGGCGCTGCGTGAATGTGTAGCATGTGTAAACACAAAGAATGAAAACATGTCGGAAGCGGCACTCAGTACATTTTCCCCCCAACTAAACGCACAAAGTCTGAGGTCTGGGCGTACTTTGAGTTTCTGAAGAATGCCGAGGGACAGCTGGTGGAGGACAACTATCCTGTGTGCAGAACATGCAGAAAGAAAGTTGCTGCGAAGGGCAGCAACACTACAAATCTGCTGGCTCCTCTCCGTGACCATCATCCACAGCTTTACAGCCAATGCAAGTTATGCTATGCAAACGTCAGTTATTGTGTGAGGGACTTCTAAGACTGTCATAATGTGTAACTCTCGACGTATGCGGGACATTTGAGCCGTATCTGTCCTCCTAAACGGCGACTAGGTTTTCCGTTTTCGTCTAAGACACTTAGGAGCTAATACTAGCTGAGTAGCTAATAGCCGTATTAGCAGCTATGTTGCTAACGCTAACTGTTTCAAAACGAAACGGAGCTGAAAACACTGAGCGGAGCCGACAGAATATAAACCGACGTAACGTAACGCTAATTGAGATCAACTATGACTGAATCACTGTGATTATGGTTATTGTATGGCGAGGTAGAATCGATATAGACGGCCAGTTATGCTTTCTCGACATAAGCTCAAACATAAAACGCTGCCGTGTTAACCTTTGACCGAGAGCATGCACTCCTTTTCTCATAGCTTATAGGTAATCCTCTGACTCACATGCACACTTCTAATGTGTTAATTATTCTGTGTAGTGATGACCATTGCCCTTAGGGTGTTTTTGGTTTCTCCTGCACATTTGTGATATCTATTCTATATATTGTATGTCTTTTGTTCTACTTTTGCATTGTTTTGTTTTATATATATTTTTCCTCTTGTGCTAATAAATAAATAATTAATATATAAATTGTTAACATATTTTGCTGACTGTTTAAATGCACCAGACAAATAAGCTTTGCTCCTGTAATGTTAAACATATTACATATTTTGTTAATTTAAAATAAAATTTTCTGTTGCTGTGCCAGTCCCTTGCCCCTTTAATGTGAAAGTTTCATTTTAATATAATTATATAAATATATAAATAAATATAATTTTGGCTGTTAACATTTCAGTATGATAAGGAAGTTACAAAGTTTAGTGAAGTTATTTCAATGTATCTATTTTTTTTTTTTTGACATTTTACAGCGCTTAAAAAAATATTGCAATATTATCGTTTACCGTGATAATTTGGTCACTCTAATCGAGATATCAAATTTTCCATATCGTTACATCCCTACTACGTACAGAGTCATCCAACAGTAATCCCTCTAAATTAAGTGTGTGGTGGTGTATTTATCTGCAAAGACCCTGCTCACTGCCTCAATTTTCGTTTTTTGCTCAGGTCAACATATTCCTGGACACAGCGCACAGGTGAAGTCGCAACTTTATCGAAGGTAGCGATCGGGTGCCAAACCATAAGCAGCAGTCTGAGGAAACTATGAAAATATCAAACACAGCACAGGATAAAGCAAATATAGTGAGGCAAGACATCGGAGGGACGAAGCTGCCGTTGGCTTTCACTTTCACTGGTGATACTCATTAAAAAGAAACAGTAGCCAACAATTCCCGCATAGTATACCTTTAAAAAAAATAAAAAAATAAAAAAAATAACACTACATCGACTGCAAAATGTGCAGTCAATAGATCTGTCTGCATTGGAGTTCTGACTCTATCAAGGACCCACATTAAAACTGTTTATTGGGATGTTTTTAATTAAAACTGGCATATTTTATATTTTAGACCTTTCTTGAATCAGGGTTTAACTGTCCACTACAGCCCGCAGTATTCTATTTTGCAGCTGGCCACTGAGTAACACAAGTGGATTATGTAGGGATGGGGTCATCAACTAGAACTGTCTAAGGGACCGCACTTTCAAATTGTCTATATATCCATCCATCCATTTTCATCTGCTTATCCAGGGCCGGGGCCCAGGATAAGCAGGCCGAGCAAAGCACCCCAGACATCCCTCTGCCCAGCAATGCTTTCTAGCTCCTCCTGGGGGACGCCAAGGCGCTCCCAGGCCAGATGAGATATGTAATCCCTCCCGCGAGTTATAGCGCTACCCCAGGGCCTCCTACCAGTGGGACGTGCCCGGAACACCTCCAGTGGGAGGCGCCCAGGAGGCATCCTGATCAGATGCCCGAACCACCTCAACTGACCCCTTTTGATGCGAAGGAGCAGCAGCTCTACTCCAAGCTCCTTACCCCATCTCTATGGCTATATACAGTGCCCTCCAAAAGTATTGGAACAGTGAGGCCAATTCCTTTATTTTTGTTGTAGACTGAAAATATTTGGGTTTGACATCAAAAGATGAATATGGGACAAGAGATCAACATTTCAGCTTTCATTTCCAGGTATTTACATCTGGATCTGATACACAACTTAGAAGATAGCACCTTTTGTTTGAACCCACCCATTTTTCATGAGAGCAAAAGTATTGGAACATGTGACTGACAGGTGTGTTTTGTTGCCCAGGTGTCTCCCAATTACATTGATTATTCAAACAATAAATAGCACTG